GCTACGCAGACCGTTGGCCTCTTCTTCCTTACTTTCCGGGGCAATCTCAACAAAGACCACCAATAACCGAGGGAACCTGACCGTGTCTCCTTCCCCTGAAAGATCCCAAAGCCACCTTCTCGTGGTCTCTCTGTTCCTGGGGCACCACTTTTTCTGTCATTCTCAATGATCCGTCTCTGTCCTTCTTGCTCTGCTACCTGCCTCTTTCCATATTGGAGAGTTTCTCTTCCTCAAATACAGGGCATCCCCCCAAAATGTGAATACAATGGGTGAAGCCAGACTAAGCTTTGAACAAAGAAATTTATCCTAAAGTGACATTAGACTTTTTTTTTAATGGGGACTCATAAAAGATAAAGTTTATGGTACAAAACCGGCAACAGCTGATGAACTGAGGGCACACAGATACTAAACGAAATGATTCTTGATATTTGCGATTCCATTGCTTCGAGTTATCAGCAGTGCTTGGGCCAGAATGGTCATCAGTTTGAAAACAGGCATTGACAAAAAAATTATTCATTTCTGTAGATTCTTTTAAATTTTGAAAATGAACTGTATGTTAATAAACACTGACTTTATAATTATACAAACTGTGTATACATTTTTTGGGGACACCCTGTATTTCAAGCTTCTCTTAAGTGGCTATGATTTAGAACTGACACAGATTTTTACTGATTGAATCCAGTTTAATTTCCCTGCTTCCTCCTTTAAAGGGCAGGCAGGGACCGGCCGGTGTGGTTCAGTGGTTGAGCATCGACCTAGGATCCAGGTGATCGCAGTTAGATTCCTGGTCAGGGCATGTGCCCAGGTGATCGCAGTTAGATTCCTGGTCAGGGCATATGCCCAGGTGATCGCAGTTAGATTCCTGGTCAGGGCATGTGCCCAGGTGATCGCAGTTAGATTCCTGGTCAGGGCATGTGCCCAGGTGATCGCAGTTAGATTCCTGGTCAGGGCATGTGCCCAGGTGATCGCAGTTAGATTCCTGGTCAGGGCATATGCCCAGGTGATCGCAGTTAGATTCCTGGTCAGGGCATGTGCCCAGGTTTCAGGCTCAATTCCCAGTAGGGGGCGAGCAGGAGACAGCCGATCAATGACTCTCATTATTGATGTTTCTGTCTCTCTCTCCCCCCTCTCCCTTTCTCTCTCTGAAATCAATAAAGACATATTTTTTTTTTTAAAAAAAAAGCTAAAATAATAAATAATTAAAAGGCAGGCAGGAGACATGCTCTTCCCCAGCTGTCCACGAGCGTGTTCTGTGATGTTGGAGAGGTTCTTCATTAGCCCTGGCCCCAAGCCATGTGTGGCTGCTGAGCACTTGAAATGCGGTGCTGCCACCGAGGAAACAAAAATTGTTATTTTATTTAACTTTAATTAATTAAAAATTAAATTTAAAAAGCCACATGTGAATAGTGGTTACCTTCTTAGCACAAGTCTACACAACTTTCCTTAAAAAAAGAAAAGGAAAGGGTGGATTTTCCTAGTTTGTCTATATCCAGTCCTGACACAGTAAGTTGATTGTTTTACTTTACAAACGTACAATTCTTGCATATTTACTAAATATTTCATTATATGTGGTTCAAAGGCTACCTGCATCAACATCCTTTGGTGTTCTTTAAAACGCAGATTCATGGAGCCCAGGAACCTGGATTTTTAAAAATCCCCAGGGTTTTGGCACCTCGGGGTGTGAGCACACAGCTCTACTGAATGTTCAGCACCAGTGCAGTGTATTCTGTTTGGAGTTTAGTTTTAAAAAAATCTTTACCTTACTTAACTAAAATTCTTAAGCAGCTGATGCATTCTACTCTGTTTACCTGGAAGATTACTTACAGTTAATTATTGCTTGATGACTAAGTCAAGCAGAGAGAGCCTAACACTTTTTATTTCATTGTCATATAATACTTAAATAATGTTGATTAGCAAAGATAATACTCTACAAGGCAAGGAGAAGGTCACCAAAATATGCATGCAGTTAACTTCTTTCACTTGAACCAAATACAAGTTTTTCATGCACTAGACAGACAGCTGTAGACTTACTACAAATTTAATAGGGTCTAAAGGCCAGCTGATTCATTGAAAAGAGATGTACCCTAATGAGTGCATATCATTTCAGAAAAAATTAGAAAACATCTGTCTAAAAGATTAGAGGCGACTCTTATTTCTTGTATTCAGCAAAAAGAGTAGACAGAGCGACCCGAGCACTTCCTGTCTGTTTAGAATAAATGGAAAATTAAGCTCAACATAGGGCTGTGTTTGTTATCACTGGATGCAAATATAAGTGATACTAATGGATGTGGCATTCAATACAGCTTCTAGTCTTTTCCTCGGGGAAAATCTCTATGCATATTTAAGGTTCCCTTGGACAGTAAGAGGATCTTACCCTTCCATGCTGATTAAAGAGTGGGGACGATATGAGATACTGAGTCTGTTAACATCTTCAGAGGATAACAAAACGTAGGAAGCACAGTATTTTGGTCATCCAGTGGCACCTATTCTATTTTTAAACTTTGGTGATTGTGGTTTTTCTTTTCATTTAATTTGGTCTCAGGACTCTGAAACCAAAATCACTTTCTGCTGCAAAGGAAAATGCTTCTCACTATCTAGTTCATGCAAATCTAGGACTATTAACTAAATAATGAAGTGACCTTAGCATGCGAGTACAGAAGCAGCTTGGTACCGAGGTATCGGAAAAAAAATATGACCTGAAACACTCCTGTCTACCAGTCCGCCATCATTTCAAAACCAGAAGTGGTACAAAGCATTTCCCCCAGCCTATTGGGGCCCCAACCTCTTTCCCTTCCCTCCCAATCTTTTTGGGCTTTACAAAGAATTGGGGCATTTGAAGAAAATTTAAGATGCTACATCCTGCTCTAAACAGTTCAATAATTCATCAACAACAAAATTAAAATCTAAAAAATTCCATGTTTTTCTTTATGCATACCCACACTTATAGAGACTTTTTGCTTTTTATGTCTAAAATTTGATATTCAACCACTGGTCAGAATAAGTTCCATTGTACAGGATGTATTACTACAATATATAGGCTATATATTTTTTATCTCTAAGGTGGTCCCATTTGATTAAAATTAAAAACCCACAAAGGGAAGAAATTAAACTGATTTTCTGTTGACAGAAGTCTTAAAATCCAGCCTCCATGAAGCTTTTCTGAGAAAATAAAATATTTAGACTTTTTCCCGATATAATGTTGAATCAAGCTGAGGTATTATTTTGATTTGGAAGAAAACAGCAAAAACAATAAGGACATTAAAACTTTACAAGTTGATGTAAAATGATAAAACTTATAGAGAAAATATCTGTATTACCAAATAATTCTAGAGGAAGAGCTTCCACCATGCAGATATAACCTTAAATTCGTTTTAAAAATACACTGCAAAGAAAATACATTTTTTAAAGGCTTTAAAATACTGATGATAACAGTTCTGAGCACCTTTTGAAATCTCTTTTCAATTAATTTTTGAGTCCTTACGGGCTATGCCTCTGTCCGTGAGTTTGATTTGATTTTACAAGGAGAAGCTGACCTCATCACACACGTTCTAACAGCTTTGACTGGCCAGGCTCAGGCCAGAGACATATCAAAAGAGCAGAAAAGAAAGAACACAACCTCGCCATTGAAATTCAAACTTGCTTGTGTGCATGTGTGTATGAGAGAGCAGCCCAAATAAAGTCCACTATTTGTTTTGTTCTACTGAACTGGCTAAAGGATTTATAAAGCCAGGGGCCTCATTATGGTAATGCAGGTTAAATACTTAAAAAAGTCTATGCTGCAACCCTCATGAATTCAAACCATTCTCAGGACCAGGAGGTAGCTGGTCAAAAACTCAGCCCCTTCTTTGTCCGACCAATTGAAATTCAGAATGGGGTACAAATGCTGCTGGGGACGAAAGCTGTGCTTCTAGGTAACTTTGTATCCAGCAGGGAAAAATAACTTAAAGAATGAAGGATCTCACTCCTACCCACAAGGTGGGCAATTTAATTTGCTCCCTTTGCCAGGCTGACAATTGAGCCTGTTAACCTCTTTCATATTAGGAGACAGGAAGGAATAGGAGCTCCTGCAATGCTGTACCCACCCTCCGATTCACTCGAACATTGAATTACTGAACATCCACACGAGCAAGGAACAAACATGGACCGGCAACTACAAAGCTTTCCCCACAGAAAAGTTGGTTCTCTGTCTGCTTGAGAGGGTTATGTGACATTGAATGAAAAGGTATATACAGAAGCACAAAACTCCAAAAACCCAGACACTTCCATCTGGCAGCAAAGAGAGACACAGCCTTTTCAGAAGTTGCTGTCTTATGCTTGTTTCTGCGAAGCATGTGTGATGACTGGGACAGGCTGATGTGCCTAGAGGTGGCCTTGTTTAGATTATGCTTCCTATCTGCAGAAGAGCAGAGGTCACAGTAGCATATCGGAAAAAAAGGAAAGCTTCACCCTGATGAGTTCTGCACCAGGGGCCTGGCAGGAATCCGAAGTGGCCCACATGGCAGCTGAGCAAAACCAGGGAAGCACACGTCCCTTCCAAGGGAGGCAGCCACCATTCAGGCGGACTCACACACTCCTGGCAGGATCGGGAGCACGGTATTGCCAGAGCTGCTGATCTTCCAAGAAAAGCCAGAAATCCAGACTTTGTGCAAAATCTCCCATTTTAAAATGAGAGCAAACTAATTTTTAAAAATTGTGTGGGTCAAACAAATATGGTGCAAGGTTAACCTTTTTCTCACCTCAGTGAAGAATGTGTGAACAGTTCTAGTGATTTGCTTATGACTAAATGGCTTGCTTCTGACCATATAAATGAAGTACAATTTGGGTTAGAATCCAGAAGTGCCTGAATATACAAACTGCACCTCAGTGGAATCTGGGGTGAAAGCCACAACGAACACAGGAGACTTAGCAGATGGGGGAAAGTGAATCTGAAATATTTCATGTAAAAAAGATCTATTGACATCTATTCAATATTACTTTCCAGGTAAAGTAGGCCATCTTACCTGTGCTCTCTTGAGGACGCTGTGCTCATCAGTGCTTGCTATTTGATAGACTTTTGCCATAACTATTGTTTTTCCCAAAGGCCCGCATGCTCTCTCCAGACTCTGGTTGCAATCTTACATTTGGGACGGTAAAAATAGAAGACACTGTGGACAGAATGGAAAGTTACCGTTTATGTACTTATCGATGCATCTGTTACCTTCTCTGTTTAAAAATGGACACTGAGATGCAATTCTGGAGGGCTAACCCGTGGAACATCATGATAGGTATTGGTCTCTGAAAGTCGGAGTCATCACAGCCACACACATTTACAGATTTACACACACATACTACAGGGGAGTCTGCCTTACCCTCAGAGTCACAGCTCAGTTGGCGAAAACAACATATTTTGCCTTTCTTTGTGCCATACTTTCATTCATTCATTAAAGAAATATTTACTGAGCCCCACACTATTCTAGGACTCCGGAACCCTGAGGTACATGAATCAGAATGAAAATGAAACCCCTGTTCTTGTAGATTCCATCTGGGGGAGACAGGTAAAGACAATCAAAAAAATATAAAATATCAACTGGTAGTAAGTGTCATGATGAAACATAAATCAAGGAAGAGAAGCTGGAAATGCTGGTGTGGAAATAGGTACCTTTGAGCAGAGACCCAAAGGAGGTGAGAAGGCGAGCCATGGCTATCTAGAGGAAGAGGGAGTACACATGTGGAGAGAGAAAACAGCAAGAGCCGACTCTCAGGAGTCAAGAAGAGAAGCAGGAGGCCATTGTAAAAATACAGGTGAGTATTGTGGGTAAAAAGCCTGTGGTATGTATATAGAATGGAATATTACTGAGCCATAAAAAAGAACGAATTCTTACCATTTGCAACAGCATGGATGGACCTACAGGATACTACACTCAGTGAAATAAGCCAGTCAAAGAATGACAAATACCGTATGATTTCACTTATATGTGGACTCTAAAAAACAATATGAACGAACAAACAAAACAGAAACAGCCTCATAGATACAGAGAACAGACTGAAGGTTGCCAGAGGGGAGGGGAACTGGGGGACTGGGTGAAAAAGGTGAAGGGATGAGAGGTACAGGTTGGTAGTCACAAAATAATTACAGGGATATAAAGTACAGCACAGGGAATAGAGTCCATAATATTGTGATAACTATGCATGGTGTACAGGAAATATTGGAGAGAACACTTTGTAAAGTATATGATTAACCACTGTGTTGTACACCTGAAACTAATACAAAATAATATGAAAGTAAAAAAAAAAATGAACAAAGAAAAAAAATACAGGTAAAAGACGACAATGAATGACTTGGAGCACAGTGATAGCCTGGAGAAGTGAGAAGAGGTGTGATTCTGAATCTATTTTGAAGATAATACCAACAGGGTCTGTGGAAGAAGTGAGTATGCATGTGACAAAAAAAGGCATCAGAAAGAACTTTCATTAACTGGAATAACAATGTTGCCATTTATTGGTAAGGGGAAGACTACAGAAGGAGCAGGTCTGGGGGAAAAGATCAGGAGTTCAGCTTTGGTAATACTAAGTTTGTGATACCTACTAGATGGCCAAACGGAGAATATGAGTAGTCGGGTGGATATGCAATCAGGGAAGATGGGACTGGAGGTATAAATTGGGAAGCTGTCAATGTATAAATGATATTTAAGTCATGAGACTGGATGGGATCATCTGGGTTCTAAGGAGTGAATATAGAAAGATTTGAGGACTAATCCCCGGGGCCCTCTAACAGTGAGAGGTCTGGGAAATCAGAAGAAATCCACAGGAGCCTGAACAGTAGAAGTGAAAGGAAAATTGTGGGGGAGTCCTGTCCTAGAATCCAAGCGAAGGAAATGTTACTAAGAGGAGGTGATGGTCAATTGGGTTAAATTCTGCTGATGGATCAAGATGGGGGTTTGGGGGAAGGATCAACGGATAAACTGAAAACACTGGTTTCTGGAGTCTTGGGTGCAAAAGCCTGGTTCAAAAGGATCCACAATGGAAATCTTGGAATTGGAGACAGCATGTATATTTGAAATGGGTGTGCTTGTTTCGTTTTTTAAAAGATGACACGGAGCTGCCATAACGTTGTTTCAGGATAAAATGCACGACAAATTTAGGAACATGTAGGAAAACCTACAAACATAGCTGGAAAGGTCCTTAGGGAGCACCATTTCTCTAAATGCGAAATCAGAGGCACACAGAGAATAAGGTACTTGGCCGGCGTTGCCCGGCTGCTTAGCGGGGCTGAATCCAGAAGCCAGGGGGTCTGACTCCCAGCTCAGGGGCTCTTCACACTGCACCACTTTGCTGGCCTTCCTTTACTGCAGATTTGAGTTTTGTGAATTAGCAAACGAATGTAATAAAATCAAGGCCTCTGCGCTATGAAGTGTATTTTGTTCATTTACTTCGACAAGGGTAGTTCAGCTTCAATAATTTATGTAACTTGATAGTATACACAGGAGAATGCCCTGTGGTGTATTTGGAAAAAGTAATGAATTTCTTCTAAATCAGCCTTTCATTTACTTCCCTGCAATTAAATCTTTGTGAAGAACTGGGGCAAGGCTGCTGGGGCTTCAGGACAGGGGGAGAGTGACAAGGTGCCACCAGGATGAGCCAGCTGCAACCGCGAGAGCTCCGGGGAACTCGACCATCACTCCTGCTTGATCAACTTGTAACTCCTGCCTCGCTGGCACACGAATGCATTCCTTCTAAACGTTGGTATTACGGAAACTGGTGAGGTTTGAAGGACTAGTATAATAAAGAAAGATAGTCTATTGTTATATGTCCTTCCAAAGCAAGTGAGAGTCTGGCATAAGTGTACAACTTCATTTTTATATAATCCATGAAATGACTGCAGTGCTCTATGTAACCAAGGCTCTGACCACACTTGATAGTCTTTTCCCAGCATCCGATATATTAAAAGTGGCCAAGAAGGCTTGAGCCCGTTTTGAACTTATTTTTGTTCGACTCTTCTCCCTTTCGTCTGGTTTCACTTCCTGCTTCATAAATGTTTTCCTTCTGTGGACATTTTTTTAAAATGTCATGAGCTGTCTTTAAGGAGGTGAGTGCTCTGGACTGAACGGTGTCCTCTCAAATTCCTATGTTGAAGACTTTAAACCCCCCCAATGTGATGGTATTTGGAGATGGGACTCTGAGTAATAATTAAAGCTAGATGAGGTCAGGAGGGTGGGGCTCCCATGATGAGATTAGCGGCTTTATAAGAAGAGAGAAAGAGATCGCTTTCGTTCTGCCCAGTGCGGATACGGAGAGGTAGCCGTCCACAGGCAGGACAAGGCTCTCACAGGAACCACATTAGCCAGCACTATGATCCTGAACTTTCCAGGCCCCAGAACTGTGAGAAATGGTGTGATGTTTAAGCACCCCGCCCTCCCCATTTATGATATTTTGCTGTAGCGGCCTGAACACACAATGCAGTGAGGTTCTTGGAACTGATGAATCTAAACCATGACTTGCTGGCGAAGACAATCCATTTATTGGTTCTGCAACACGTCTTCCCAGGGGGACCTCTCATCAAATCTCCTTGGAAAGGGAGCACATGAGGGTGTTGCCAGCTCTACTGCCACTTGCCAGCAGGTGAACTTTGACAAGACTCCACACTCATGTAAAACTGACTGTTAAGAATTTCTAAATATAGTCTACAGAATATTAACCTAGATAACAGTCACTCAAACTAGTCATTTCACCTAGAACTAGTTCCCAAAGTCTCCAAAGTCTCAGGATTCCTTGTTTTGTAAACATGTTTACAAGGTCTACCACGTTGTTCAAAATGGAAATGACCACAGTATTTAACACTGGGATTGCCCTTTCTTGAGACTGGATTTATGCTTCATAATGATTATCTACTACACACAGAAATAGCATTTCTGTAACTCAAAATTGTTACCAGAGGCATTTAGCAGAACCTTGCTTTAAAAAAATAATGATTTTTCATCTTTATTCTCCCCCCTTCAAAAGGTTTCACTCCTCCTGATGTTTAACGTTATGCAAAGACGTGTTTCCGCCAATGAATATCACCTTATGGTTATGCTTCTGCAAATAGCCTGCTGTGAGCTGATAAAGGGATTAATGCAGCCAAAATTCTTAATCTGTGAAATTACAAATTAAATTCTCATATTAAAAATACCACCCTGAGGTATTTTTTGTGGTTTTAATTCCCCTCTGGTGTTCTGCATACATTGTGCTTGTTAATGACGGGGACAAGGCTGTCTCCGCTGGCAGCCTGCTGCCGAGTGATAATGTGGAGGCATTTACTTACTGATAGAAAATGGATTTAACCACTGGCTGATAAACTAAGTGGCAAGTGAGTAATAAGTCCATATTAACAGAAAAGTACGACTACAAAATTCAGAATTCACAGACCATCAAAATCCTGGCTTAAGCTCAATCATCAAGTCAGATGGGATTGAGATGTCACCAAGGAGGAGCGATGTCGAGTTACAAGTTATACTAAAAAGGGAAACAAACCATGTGTTTGAGTCTGATGAGCCATAAACTAATAAGCCCACTTGCATCATTTTTTCCCTTCAGTATAAAAGGACGTGTCGTCAATTCATTATTTTTCCATAGGGATTTTATCTTTAATTTTTAAAAAATGGGGATAGCTGTTGTAATGGTCAGTGGGAAGACTTTTAGAAAGGAAGCAGGGCAGAATATAAAACAAAGATGTAATATAAAAAAATTTAACAAAGCATAGGGGGAGTAGTGGGTTATGTATCTATAGTCACTTCAGGGTAATAAAAAGTAATTCAAATTAACTGTGGGATTATAAAAAAAAACACTTAGCCTAGGAACACCCAAGAGCAGTTGTTACCTATGACTTAGTTCCAAAATAAAAGGGTTATTACTGTCAGGAGAATCTAATACAATGAGGGAAAAGTCTAAATCCAAACGATTAAAGAAATAAGTATGTATGTGCATGGCAAGTGATGTACACTTAAGGGTTAATAAGCATATTGCAAATATTTATGCATATATGCAGTGTATTAATTTTAAGGCAATCAGAACGAGAAGAAGTATCTCTAATGGGCATGTGGAAAGGACGTATCACCATTCAACAGAAATGTTCTAACTTCAATAGTGTTTTGCGAAATTTCACAAGAATTCTGTTTCGCACTTTGGAAGAAAGATGAGATCCTCCCAGCCATAAACCCTTCCCCGAATATTTAAAATGTAATTGAGAGAGGCTGTGTAAATATGAACACTTTTGTAAAAACAAAACAAAAACCCACCCAGGAATGTGTTTTGTTTTAAGAGATCTAGAGAAGATCTGACTGTACTAATACCAAGAGCATTTGCAGTTAAAATGAATTATGTCTTCAGTCCCTACATGTCAATTCGGCACATTAGCCAACTGCCAACTCTATTCGTCAGCTCACTGCCTAGCAGCCCTTTTTAAGGTTTTTGTTATAACCAAGATGGTCTCTGAGAATCAAACAGAAATGAATCATTTCTCCTCTGTACTGCAGCCAGTTAAAAAGTACTGTATGCATAAATATGTAAATCATATTTTCCTTTTCCTTTATGACTGCTCAGATCATTTTTTGGACACACACATAATCAAATACAAAGACACGCAGCTGCAAACTGCAGAGCAGAGATAGCAAAAAAGGAATCCATTTTCTTCCTCTGTCTGGTAAGCTGGCGTTTGAATGGCAGGATTCCACTAAATATATACACACACAACCCCCCTTTCCCTCTGTTCTCTCTCTCACTACACACACACACACACACACACACACACACACACACATAAATGTACATATATATATGTATATACAAACACACACAAACTCATAATATATATGCAAGCACATAATCTTACACATGTACACATTCACACGCAAACATTAATCTCTCTACATGTGTGTTACACACAGATACTAAAATGATGTCCCTGCTTTGCTTGGATGTTGTGGATTTGTCCTACTCACTATCGGTCAGTTCCCATAGCCGTGGGGGCAGGTCACTAAAATACTCGTGGCTCAAGGCAGCCTGTGCTGATAGTCTGTTCTTTGGGGAACACTGTAGGAGCTTGGAGGCCAGATCCTCTGCATAATTCACATAGCTGAGCCTGAAAACAAGCACAAAAGAGGGAAATCAGACCAAACATGAAAAGTCACTAAATAAGACGTAAGGCTCACCCAAATTTTCTGGACTTATTTATTCCTGGCCAAGAAAACAAGTTGAATTATCTGTTGAAAATAAACAGAAGCCGAATTCACATTGGTTCTCAGAGTATCTGTTACTCTAAACTGGCTTTTACTCATACAACCTTAGTCTCATTGATTTAAAATATTCCTACTATAAGCAAAGGGTTGATACTTGCAGGCTAGAACTAGGTCCAGAGGTAGAAAATTTCAGAGGATAATTTATCAAATAGTTGCCAGAATTTGTTCAGAGGATCTATGTACTGCATACACATATGGATACATTTATAGGAAAATTAATACAAAATAACCAGGAGAATTAAAATAAAACTGCTATTAAATTCTCTAGTTACTATGTTACTTTTTATCTAAGAATTCACATTTTCTTACATTGAATATAAAGTTTTTGGAATAAGTACACTGTCAAATGTCAACAATCGAAATATTAGCATGCAGGTTAACAAAGGGGATATGCTTAAACCATATGGGGCAGAATCAATTCAAGATGACCTTTAAAATAACAGTAGATAGAAAATATGTCTCAAGAATACCAAAAAAAGCAAAGGAGTAAAGTCTTCCATGTGGTACAGCTTTCAAATGGGTAGCAGACCACACAACCCAGCCCAGCCTTGCTTTTCACGGAATCTCTATTGCACTGATCAGTGCGATCAATCCTGGATAATTAGCTTAATAATAAAAAAGTGTTTCTAATAATGGCTACCACTTATGGATAGTTGAACATGTGTCAAAGCACTTTTGCATTCTCTCATTTATGACAGTCCAATAAGGTAATTCTGTTCCCATCTAATACCAGGGGAAGCTAGGTGGGAGTCTGAGAAGGTAGTGGGTTGCTCATTTAGAAAGTTGAGTGAATTCAAACCTATCCAAAATTACAGCTCTAAAATAGTTAGGGGGATGTCAAGTACAGCACAGGGAATATAGTCAACAATACTGAAATAACTAGGTATGGTGTCAGTTAGGTACTAGACTAATTGGGCAATCACTTCTTAAGCTATATAAATGTCTAGCCACTACGCTATACACCTAAAACTAATGTAATATTGAATGTCAACTATAATTGAAAAAAAACAATTAATTAAATAAATAAAGTGGTTTGTATTTGCCAGGCTCTCAGATTGTTTCTAAAGGCTTTTACCCTCGGATTCCTGTGTGTCTGCAACAAGATTCAACAAATACAGACTCAGAGGCAGCCAGAAGCCCGTGGAGAAAGTTGCACCTGCCAGTGGGTATCTGTTCCGTGGGAAAGTTGCACCCTGAAGCTAGTAAACACCCAGTTAGCCAATAAACACCTTTCCTCAGTGCCCAACAACCCTCCACTCCCCTCCTCAAGCAGCTTTTTAGTATTGATTTAAAACTGTTATGGGGGCAGGCAGGATTGGGAGAGCAGAAGAGGGAAGGCAGCAATGAACTTGGGCAGAGGAAGAAAAAGGGAAAAAAGAAAAAAAAATTTCTCTAAAGGTCTAACCTAAGAGATTTTCTCTCTAAATCTTCGCACATGAAGGTATCATAGATGGTTTGGTGTTTGGCAGCTGCAACGGCTGTTTTTAAAAACCTGATCAGTGGATTGGTTTTAAATGTCTCTGCCTGGCAAAGGGAAATTTTCCCACAGGAAAAAGAGGCACCATCAAGTCTCTACAGTTTCCTCCCTTCTCCTTTAAGAAGGGCCAGGGCCACCCAAATTATTCCTAAGACGCTCTCACTATTACAATCTTTCCATTAAGGTTCTAAAAATATCAAATGCAAGGTTTGCAATAGGTAGGCTTTATGTTAAAAATTGGACTTATAATACATGTACAGTTTATCTATAATCACGGTGAAAAACACATTGGTTTCCATTTTCTATGGCTGTGATGAAATAAAACCAGTACCAGGTTGAGACCAGACCTGAGTTTTAGTCCTGACTCTGTTATAAGAGTGACAACCACATTATGTGTGCAGTCCCTACGGCTCCAACAAGCCATGGATCATACCTGAAGCATGGTTTCACTATTTTGAAGAATTATATTTGTAGTTGTATCTTTGTTTTTGAAATAGATTGCTGGTCACATTTAAATTTTATACATATATACCTAAATATAAGGAATTCATCAATATAAGACGATTTCATTTCTCATCTCCCAAACTGAGTAAACCTTAATTATGTCAATGAAATAGACAAATGCTTATTTGACATTCAAACTGAATTTATATTTATACACAAATATATAAATTACATATATAAAATTTTAACTTAGAAAGTTTGCTATTTCTTCACTTGCATTTCAAGAACCACTTTTATTCCAACTCTCCACATGCATTTTCAACACCAGAGTTCCTGTCATCACCAGAACCTTTGAGACCATCTAAGCTGTTTGAGATACGACACTTCGGGCTATCTTACAGGATTTGGAAGTTTTATCCCAGGCCAGAGGCGTACCTTATCAGAATGTTACAATAGTCGTGGCTGTTGTTTGCCATCTCCCATTGTAACGGTAGACTTTAAAAATTTTTCTTGTGCAAGGCCGGGCATGGCTCAGCAGTTGAGCATCGACCTAGGATCCAGGCGATCCGGGTTCGATTCCCGGTCAGGGCACAAGCCTGGGCTGCGGGCTCGACCCCCAGTCGGGGGCGTGCAGGGGGCAGCCGATCAATGACTCTCTCATCATGGATGTTTCTCTCTCTCTCTCCCTCTCCTTTCCTCTCTCTGAAATCAATAAAGATATATTTAAAAAATTTTTTTCTTGTAATTCCATCAATTTTTGTTTTATATATTCTAAAGCTGAGTAATTAAGTGCATAATAATCTAGCACTGCTATCTCTTCCTGGTAAATTAAGTCATCAATCCTTCTGTACTGACCGTTTTGATCTTTAATAAAACTTTCTGGGCTAAAGTTCATTTTTTTTCTCCTATTAATTTAATAACTTCAGGTGTTTTTTTCATTCAATATTTGCCTGGCATACCTTTTGTAAGACTCTTTCTTTTAATTTTTCATATCCATAATTTTAAGGTGTCTCTTTCATAAATACTATATAGCTGGGTTTAATACTTATTCAATTAAATAATCCTCATATTCTAAGAAGAAATTTTACTCCATTTACATTTTGTGATTACTGCTATATTTAAATTACTGCTACCATCTTACTCTGGCATTCTATTTTGACCTGCTTTATCTTTTTTGTTTTTTTCTGTCTTCTTTTGGATTGAATTTTGAAATTCAAATTTCCATCTCCTGTTTTAGAAGTTATACATTCTATTTCCATGTGTTTAGCGGTTACTTTTAACTTTATTTTTGCATTTCAATATTTATTTATATGCTTGAACTGTAACAATGAGTTTTACAAGCTGATGGACACTGACAAATTATTTTCCCCAGAGAACTATAAACATACATCCAGACAATATAAATAGATGATTGAATTAACATCAATACACAGCACCGTTTTATCAATTAAATAATAAGACAAAATGTTCAGTACAGGAATATAAAATTACAGTTCAACAGGAATATAAAATATTAGATATATGTTCAATTCATTAGCAGAAACTCACTTCTGTTTTTTGGGGGAATATTCCATATGTCTTACACAAGACAAGCAAAATATTTTCCTGAAAATCTTTTAATAGCTCACTCATTCTTTTTTTTAGGCCCTCTCTTTTAAGTTGCACCCCAAACTGCAAACATTAAATTAGTTTTCAGACGTTTTGTCTGGAGACAGTAAAGATATGTGCTTCTGTACAATGTGGATTTTACATGAACTTGTCCACCAGAGGTTTGTGATTTTTTTAAAATGGAGGTTTTCATAACTGCACAAAATGAGATTTATAGAAAGACATTAAAAAATCATCATAAACTTGGTCAGAAGCCAACAAAATCAGTGGTTACACAAACCTGATGTCTACTGTTTTAAATATGGGAGCTATAAACATGAAGTAGCAGGCAAACAGCCATAGAAGCCCTACTGTCAATGTCTGAAATGAATGAAGGGATAAACCACAGGTGATCTACATTGGTTTTCCCAGTTCCTGGGATTTTAATTCTGTATGATATTAAAAACATATAAGTATTGTGATGGGTATTTCAGCACCCAGTCTCTCTAAATTTCTTACCTTTTGATAAGATTCTGGCATGGAAATAGATTTGAAGAAGACATAACTCAATACTGCATGGTTTCAGGAAAGATCAATTGATAAAAATTATAAGCATATTTTAAATGCTGAACAGCAAGAATTTTTTGCTAAGTTTCCAACTAGGCTGATCATAATCCAAGCAGAGAGGCTGAAATTCCACCAAGCTTGAGCCTGATAAAACTGCTTATCAATGTTCCCACGAAGGCTTCACTGACTTATCCTTCACCAAGCCTACGTTTTGGCTCTTAGTTATGATAAACTGGGGCCCGTCTGAAGTTCCATTTCCAAGGCAATAGCATCCGGCAGCCCAGTTTTATTGACTGCAATGGTAATTCCTATGACTACTGGTATCTATGAAGTGCAGCTGGATTTTAGGACAATACTTCTCCAAATATAAAAGTTGCTTGTTTTTAAAAGCTCCACTCTACTTTTGTGTTATGAACTTGACCACATGTTCATATTTCATTCCATTTGCAATTAATGCTAAGGCAACAAGCATTAGAGCTCTCCCAAGACATACAACACAGTGACAACGATACAACAATCAGGTTCTTCAAGAAAGTTCATTTGAACAAGACATGACCAGTCATCAATAGTCTGGTTGGGTGGCAGTGCACCAGCAGATGACCAATCCAGAATCTGACACCTTCTTTCTCCACAAGATGAGTGTTACAAGTTGCTTCACACAGTCTCACTATTGCAGTAATGCCACACAGTTAAAGTTCCTCTATACATTTGTTTAAGGTCGCACTGGTTGGACTGTCTTACGTATGACGTCACAAGAGTTGGCTCGTC